GTTCGCTCTGGTCCAGAGGCGAGTCGGGGCCACACACACACACACACACACACACTCACACACACACTCACATACTCACAGCTGCTGACAAGTAAACTTTGCAAAGGAGACGGAGCAAACGCTGGCTCAGTCGGCTGCCTGCCGGGGACCCATCAGCCCTATGGGTCTGGTCTGCCACTGCTACAGGCTTCTTTCCGTCTCCTAAGTGCAGCACTCAGAACTTGAAGTTACTTCTTTGCTTCCTGCCTCTCCCCACTGGAATCTACCGGGAGGTGAGGGAGGGGCTCCCTTCTTCCAGCAAGGTATCTCCACCGTTCAGGACCTGAAGATGTGCTCAGGAAAAATGAGTCAGGGTTTAGGGCTTAATGAATTGTCAAACAGTATACTCTTTTTTGGGGGTGGTGGTGGTGTGAGACAGGGTTTCTCTGTATTGTTTTGGAGGCTGTCCTGGAACTTGCTCTGTAGACCAGGCTGGTCTTGAACTCACAGAGATCCTCCTGCGTCTGCCTCCAGAGTGCTGGGATTAAAGGCGTGCGCCACCACCGCCCGGCAACACTATATTTCTATATTTCTCGATACACAACAGTTTAAAAAGCAAAAACAACTGGGTCAAGGGAGCAGGGAAGATTCTCCATGGAAGGCAAAGGTCAGGTGCAGTCTAGAAGTCTGGGAGGAGCCACTAGGGGGAGACAGAGGGGCAGCAGTGGCTTTGGAGTAAGAAGGCCAGACACTTCTAGAAAGCCTGAAACACAGAGCAGTGACAGAAGTGGAAGGTGATGCAGAGTTTGAGCTAAGACGTCCCTCCCTCCCTCCCTCCCTCCCTCCCTCCCTCCCTCCCTCCCTCCCTCCCTCCCTCCCTCCCTCCCTCCCTCCCTCCCTCCCTCCCTCCCTCCCTCCCTCCCTCCCTCCCTCCCTCCCTCCCTCCCTCCCTCCCTCTTCTTTAGAGAACAGTTCTTTGTATCTGGCCTGCATGTGCACATGAGCTCTACATGCAGGCCAGAAGTAGAGTTCTCATTTCCTGGAACTGGAATTACAGATGGTTGTGAGCTGCCCTGTGGATGATGGGAACTGCATCTTAACGTCTGGGCCACGCCTCCAGTCACATCTTTCTTTCTTTTTAGGTTGATTTCTTCTAGCATGTATGTTTGCCGGCATATATGCATGTGTGTAGGAGTGAACCCCACAAAGCTACCCGCCCAACAGGGCGGGGTCAAGGTAGAGATAAAAGGTAGTGAAAGGAAAAGGGGCCTCTCTCTTTTCTCCTGGAAGCCAGCCACGCTTCTAACTCCTGGTATGTGCGACTCTCTCTTTCCCTGATAAATAAATATATTGTTTTTCCCTATATAGCCTCGATTATCGTTATACATGTGCACTACTTATGTCCCTGCCTGGTGCTTGTGGAGGTCAGAAGAAGGCGTGGATCTCCTGGAACTGGAGTGGCAGACAGGTACAAACTGCCATGTGGATGCTGGGGACTGAGCTGGGGTCCTCTAGTAACTGCCAAGCAGTCCCCTGTTTTTTAAGTTGTGTGTATGTGAGTGCAGGTACCTGTGGAGGTCACAGCATCAGCTACCCTGAGCCTGAGCTGTGGGCAGTGGTGAGGCGGCCGGTGCTGGTGCTGGGAAGAGAACTTGGCTCCTTTGCAAGCGTGTGAAAGAGTATGGCGATTTTAACTGCTAAGCCGTGTCTCAGGCCTTCCTCCTTTTCTTCCTCCCCTCCCCTCCCCTCTTCTCCCTCTCCCCCTCTCTTTTTTTTTCCAAGACGGGTTTCTGTGTAACAGCTCTGACTGTCCTTAAACTAGTTCTGTAAACCAGGCTGGCCTTGAACTCACAGAGATCTGCCTGCCTCTGTGTGTACCACCACCACCCGCTGACCCTCTTGTTTTCAAAAATATATTCAGGGTTGGGGCTGTCTGTCACTCAACAATGGAACACATGCTTAGCATGTGCAAGGCCCATCCCAAGCATCTTTTTTTTTTTTTTCTTCTTTGAGACAGGGTTTCTCTGTGGCTTTGGAGGTTGTCCTGGAGCTAGCTCTTGTAGACCAGGCTGGTCTCGAACTCACAGAGATCCGCCTGCCTCTGTCTCCTGAGTACTGGGATTAAAGGTGTGCGCCACCACCAACCGGCCCGTCCCTAGCATCTTAAAAAACAAAACCAACAAACAGCCAACCAATTTGTTGCTCTCAGTGAGCACAGAGAAAGCTTTCTGGATTCTGTTTGTCCTCAGGGACATCTCTTCCTACAAGTTCTCTTCTTATGAAAACCATTTCTCATACCTCCTGCTACTTATGGGGTTTAGTCAACACAGGCCTACACAGAGCACAGCCTCTTACTGGGCCTCTGAGTGTGGCATTCCCCATGCAGAAGACCATGTGGGGCCCTCAAAGGTACTTGCTGCCAAGCCTAACAATGTAAGTTTAGTCCCTGGACTCACATAGCAGAAGAGATATCCAACTCATTCAACCATCAAAACTTACAAAGAAAAATGTCCAGCTGCTGTGGTGACTGCACCTGTAACACCAGTAGGAGGGTGGCAGAGTTAGGAGAGTGGCGAGTTTGAGGCCAGCCTGGTCTACATAATGAGACTCTAAAACACTGCTGCAAAAAAAAAAAAACCAGTATCCCCAAAATTGATTAAAGGCATCAAAATATTGGCAAGCAACATAACCAGGATGAAGGTAAGAGGGCTTATTGCATGGCTGTGCCAATCTCCTCTGAAGAGATCTGTTCTCTCCCTCAAATCTGCCCGGGGCTTTGTGCTCTGAGACTTCCTCCTCTCCTCAGTGACCTGAGCTAATTATTCCCGCTTGCACAGGACAGAAGTGGGCCTGCGCCTGCGCACTGCACAGAGAGCTGGGCCAGGTTGGGGCTGTCCTCATGTACACTGTGTGTCTCCAGCAGTTCAGTGGCTGCAGTAGGTGGCCCACAGCAGCCTCCAACTGTCTACACCCGTCACCAGTGTGCTTTCTTTTTTCTGCAGTGCTGGGCATTGAACCCTGGAGCTCTACTGCCGAGCAGAGGACAGCCCCAGCCTGAGGTGCTTCTGTGTGCAGGGTGTCATGCCACACACATCTGAATCAGACTCTCTGGGGACCTGAGCAAGTGCCTACCAGGTTTTGAAAACTAGTGGTCACATCCTGCGCCAGGCTTTGTCTGCATGTTTCTTCCAATAAAGTTCCAGAGGTTTCAGAGTACCCAGAAAAAACTCAGGCCTTCAGGTGACTGGGTATCAATTCCAACCTCAGTCTTCATTCACCCTATAGAAGCTGCCTGGGGGCTTGGGAGGTGGCTTCCTGAGTTAAGAGTGCTCTTGCAGAGAATCTGAGTTCTATTCCTAGCATACATCAGAACTACAACTCTAGTGCCAGGGGGATCTGGCACCTCTGGCTTCTGTGGGCACCCACACTCATGTGCACATACACATATAATTAAAAATAATAAATATTAAAAAAGATGATGCTGATGGCTGACTTAGGGGTACAGTCCTACAGTTCTCATGAGCTCATTCGTAGTCTGTGTTAACCCCCTCTTCTCCTCCAACCCCTCAGCACCCTGCTGTCCTGTTGCTCAAACCTCACGGCATGGCAGTGTCCCCAATGCTGTTTTTGGATTTCTGGATAACTGTTTTTTGGACATATGTATTCTTCCTCAGAGAAACAGGTGTCTTCAAAAGATGACTGGGATGTAATTCCTTTTGTGTTTTTCTTAGAGAAGTCAGCAAAGAATCTGATCTGAATGTTTTGGCTGGATGAGAGAAAGGTAAGGCATTTTGAGTCTCATGTAGGCCATAGCCTCAAATTTGCTATGTAGCTGAGGATGGCCTTGAAGCATCTCTGCCTTCGTCTCCCATGTGCTAAGTGAGCCATCATGCCTGCCCTGAGGAAGCATCGTCCAGGCATTTACTCTCTTCACTGCCATATGTCCAGCACCCAAGGGAATTATGGGGAGCATGTATGGTTCAGGAAAACAGGAGATGGGGCTTCAAAAAGACAAAAGAAAAATTCATTCAGTTTCATCTTTTCTCCACCTGTGTGTGTGTGTGTGTGTGTGTGATGTCTCATATACCTGGGCAGTATTAAACATTCTCTGTACCTGTAGTTGGCCTTGAACTCATCTTCCCATCTCCCTCTCTGGAGTGCTAGGCTTACAGGCGTGTCCACCACACCCAGCTACATCCCTAGCCCCTCACCTTATTTTTTATAATTTAGTTTTGGATATTAAAAATATAGTTCTCTGGGGGAGAGATGTAATTCAGTTGGTACAGTGCTTGTCTAGCATGCACAAAAGTTGGGATTTGAACCCCAGAACTCTGTAAACCATATGTGGCATTACACACCTGTGTTTCACTACAGAGAAGGTAGAAATAGGATCAGAAGTTCAAGTCATCTTTGAAGCTATAGTCAGCTTGAGACCAGCCTGAGCTATGTGAGACTTTGCCTAAAAAAAAACCAAAACGAGCTTTGCAAGGTAACATGACAAGAGAATTGTCACTGGAAGTTGGTGCTGGCACACTCAGAATCTTTGGTGTCTCCTCCTCACCCAGAGACTCGGGCTGGGAAGGAAAGTGGGAACCTGAGAACTGGGCTACCCCAAAGAGCCAGGTAGTGCCCTCTGGCCTCAGGTCTACCATCCTGGTTGCCAGACAACTTGAAATTGCTGATATTTTATAAAGGACTCTACTGTGGCCCAGAGTCGAGTCCCTATCAAAGAACTCCTTTTGGTTTTCCGTGTCAGACCCCAGAGCACTGCACAGGGACCGTGTTCCTCCCATGCTGGCTTTCTCTGATGTCATCTGAAGCAGCTCAGGCTTGCCCCAGCTCCGAGTTTCCCAGCATGCTCTTCTGACGTGCACTTTTAGAAGCAGCAGCGGGGGCGTTTGGGATTGAGGGCTATCCATCTATTCTGGAGTGACAGTTTGTAGTCCTAAAGTGTGGTAAATATCTGTCTTCCTTCATGAAGACAGAGTCACAGCAGAAAAGAGATGGAAGCAGTGCCATGCTAAAGACAGTAGGAATATTTTAATGCTTTAATTACATTATGTAATAATAATATCATAGTCTATTTTACAAGTTAAAGGTATGAGAATGTATGAAATAGAAGTGGTAGGAAAAAAATTAAATGGGTCAGGAAGGTAAATTTTTTCAAAACCAGAGGCCAAAGAAAGCCTGTAGGGCCCAAGGAGGAGGCGGGGCAGGTGACGGGCGCACTGTGGCTCCTGGTATGGGTTTGTCCCCATGCTTGCACCAGGAAGGAGTCGAGGCTTGTCCCCTGCGCTCAGCTGGGGTTGGGAGTTTAGTCTTGTCAGTGGACATGGAGGTTGTGGGAGAAAAAGCCAGCTGGCTACCTATACAGAGCTGGTTTCCTGCTGTCACAGGTGGGTTCTGTGTCGAGGAATCAGCTGAAGTATCAAAAATCAAGCGAGTGGAGCAAAAAGTAAAGCTTCCTCCTGCCCCGGTCCAAATTCTTCAAGTGCACACAAGCTCTTCTCTCAGACATAGAAAAGCCTCACTCTGGACGTGCTGACGAGAAGGTCGTCGTCAAAGAACTTTGTCTCTATGATGACATTGCCCCTGTGGGAGAGAATTGAGAGGGCAGACAGAGTGAGCGCCACAGGCCATGGTACCACCTCCACAGATGGTGTCCATCTGGGTTCTCTGGGCTGAACACATGTACCACCTAGAGCCTCAGTTTGGGCCATCACAATCCTTGTTCTGTGGTGGCGCATACCCATAATCCCAGTATCCACAAGGCTGAAATAGGAGGATCTGAGTTCAAGGTTAGTCTGGGCTATATAGTGAGGTTCTATCTCAGAATGAGAACAAGGCTAGGCATGGTGTGTACACCTTTAATCCCAGTCCTAGAGAGTAAAAGACAGGCGGATCTCTGTGAGTTCTAGGTCAACCTGGTCTATATTGTAAGTTCCAGGCCAGCCAGGGCTGCAAAGTGAGACCCTATTTCAAAACAAAACAACAACAACAAAAAGCAAAGCAAAGCAAAGCAAAACTAAATTCAAGTGTTGTCTATAAAGGTTAGAGAGTCTTACACGGTGTATGACTTATGTGACTAGTTTTTCTCATCAAGCACAGAAGTCAGAAATAAGGGAATGCCTTTTGTCTTGGCACACTACTGTCTCTACAGATCCTGGGCTGACATCAGAGAGACATTCTGTCCTGTAATACAAACTAAAGCAGACAGCCAGAGTACCTGCCCTGCAGCACTCCTTTGCCTTTGGGTAGAAGCATCCTGCTCCTGCTTTGTGGTCAATCCCCTCTTCTGGTCTCTGGATCAGCTGAGTGAGCCTTCTCTCACCTTGCAAAGAGGTGTCACAGTATTCTATTTATGCCAATCAGATTCTTTCCCTTAAGTAGCATCCTTCCTTAGTTACTCCTTAGGAAGACATCATAGATTCTCGCCCTTGTCCCTTCCAAGCTGCGAGGTTTTTGCTTGGTCTAACTCAGGTCAATTAGCCAGGGTTTGTTTCTGTGGTTTGCAACCAAAGAACCTTAAATGAGGCACCTGAATTATGAGGATGAGGTTGGATGATTATCTCGGTGGCCCATTCTGTTTGCTTTTTCCTTTCCTGGCTGTGTCAGAGAGTGATCCTAGACCCTTGTGCATGGCAGGAAAGAACATCCCCACTGAACCATAAATGGCAGTGCTCCCAGTTATAAAATGGAATATTATTGCCATACCAAATCACTTTTGACAGTTTTCATATTTTACTTTAAAAAATACTTATTTTAGCCTGGCGTTGGAGGCACACGCCTTTAATCCCAGCACTCGGGAGGCAGAGGCAGGGATCTCTGTGAGTTCGAGGCCAACAGCCTCCAAAACAATACAGAGAAACCCTGTCTCGTAAAACAAAAAAACAAAACAAAACAAAACAAAAAAAAGACTGGGTGTGGTGGCATGTGCCCTTTATCCCAGAACTCGAGAGGCAGAGGTCAGTAGATCTTGAGTTTAAGGCCAACCTGGTCTAGATAACAAGTTCCGGGACAGCCAGGTCTAATTAGAGACCCTGTCTCAAAAAAAATATTGTATTTTATGTGTACAGATGTTTTGCTTACATGTAAATCTATACAACATACATGTGCCTGGTGCCTTTGGAGGCTGTAAGAGGGTATCAGATCACATGGAATTGGAGCTACAGAGAGCTGAGAGTTGTCATGTGGGTGCTGGGAATCAAGCTTGGGTTCTATGGAAGAGCAGCCAGTACTTTTAACTGCTAAGCCACCTCTCCAGCTCCTTTATGTCTCTTTTATACACTTGCTATGGCTTTAATGAAGGATATCCTGGCAGATGACCTAGGGTTACACAATTACTTGTGGGTCTAAACTTCTATATAATATGACTACTGAAGCTTCTTTTTGGGAGTGCGGGGTGTAGAACTCACACATGTTGAGCAAGCTCTCTATCACTGAGATACATCCCCAGGTCTACTGAAATATTTGAAAGACTCAATCTTTTCCCAAGAGAAAATGCTAAGTGGGCAGTTACTGACAATGTTTTTAGATTTTTATTTTATTATTATTATTACTGTGTATCTATCTGTATATGATGTGTGTGTTAGTGCGGGAGAATGTCAAAGGACAACTTTCAGAGATAATTTTCTCCTTCTTGCTTGGGTTCCAGAGATCAAACTTAGACCACCAGGTCTGTCCCACTAAGCACTTTCACCAGCTGAGACATCTTGTTGGCCATCGGCAGTTCTGACAAACAAAGGAACTTTTCTTTGATCAGGAAGCAGTTAGTGAATTATAGGTCAGTCTCTGGAAGCCTATGCCCAGATGTTATCCTCTAAGATGGAGCACTCTGGAGATGTGGTAAGGGGATCCAAAGAGTGTACAGAGGCTCGGTGAGAGAGTGAACTTGCTAGATTTGACATCTGTTTTGTGCTGGCTCCTTTCCACATTGTTTCATTTTTTACCTTCACTGTATCTGAGAAAATAAGGCTTTGCAAGGTAAGACACCACCCAGCCTGGTGGTGGCGGTGCATGCCTTTAATCCCAACACTTGGGAGGCAGGCAGGTGGATCTCTCTGAGTTTGAGGCCAGCCTGGTCTACAAAGTGAGTTTCAGGACAGCCAGGGCTACACAGAGAAACCCTATCTCAAAAAACCAAAACCATCCAACCAACCAACCAACCAACCAACCAACCAACCAACCAACCAACCAACCAACCAACCAACTAAACAGAGACATTGTCACCCAAAGACAAGTCATCAGGGTGAGCTGGAAATTTAAAATGTGGTCTAGAGATTTTTGAACCTATTGTTTTCCACAGAACAAAAGTCAGTAACCCTGATACAGCCCTGGGCACTCTTCTGCTCTCACTTCTCTCCAGATCTCTGCCTGAGAACAGGACCAGGAGTTCCACCTGCCTGAAAGTCTGTTTTGAGACACACTTTGAAATTCCCTGAGACCTCACTCACGTTAGGACGCTGGCGGGCATCATCTGGGACTCGGGTGCTGCTTCTATCAAGGACTGCCAGGTATTTGTGGAGTTAGGGATCACAAAGCCAAACTCGAAGAACCACTCTGAAGGAAGAAGAAAAAGCTAGTGAGCAGGTGCTATTTGTGGGCATGGGAAACCAGAGACTATTTGTCCCTCTCCTTTAGAGTGGGTTCTTTCTATCCAGAACCATGATAGGACTTATCAGATGCCTCCTAAACCAGAGGCATACGAAGGACTCAGACCTTCACAGACCATCTTCTGATTTGTGCCACAGGCTCCCCCGGCCCCCAAGGCAGGGTTTCTCTGTGTAGCCCTGGCTATTCTATTTTGGAACTGGTTCTATAGACTAGGCTGGCCTCAAACTCAGAAATTCACATGCCTCTGCTGCCTGAGTGCTGGGATTAAAGGTGTGTGCCACACTGCCCAGCTAGGCAGTGCTTTCTTAGGAGTAGCAAGATAGTGCACTAAAATAGAGATGAAAGGTCTTCGGAATTTTAGCTTTATGGTGCCTATGTTCTCTTACATTTTGAAAACTCAATGCAGAGTCCCTACTAGTGTCAGCTTATGATGTGTAGGTACAGCTCTATACTACATTTCATTATAGCTGCTTCTTCCAAGATCACATTTTAATACCACACCAAATGCAGGCACAGGTATCAAGCTTCCGGAGTCAGGTAGCCGGAAGCCACTTTTGTGTCCAGCCTTGTTTGTTTTCACTGGGGATCCCCAGTGTTGCAGGGTGTAGAAATTCTACTAGTTATGAAATTAGTATTCTCAAAGCATCTGCCTTTTGCCCCTGTCCTCCTACACTCTGATTCCAGGCACACATGTAGCAGAATACCTTCTAGGCATTGCCCTTTGAAATAAACTTTTTGTTCCAGGCGGAATTTTTCCATTTGCTCTGCAGAAGAAAAGTTCAGTTCTCGAGACACTGCCTTGCACTTGAGGATTTTCTTGGGCACACGGGCTGATGAGAGAGAGAGAGATATTGGTACCTTTGTAAATGAGAACCACAGGACGATGCTTTAGGTTCCTGGGAGTTCCTTTGGCTGCCTTAGAGAATGTGTGAGACGGGAATCAATGCAATATGGAAACTCATCTACTTATTCACCAGAGAAAGAACTTTCACACAAGCTGGAGATCAGAAGTGTGGCCTGCTTTCAAGAGAGAGAGCTTTTGCTTTTCCTTTCCTTTTACCCTCACCTGTGTCTGTACCTCTGTCCACGCCCCTTCTGGGGCATGGATAGTATTGTGGGCTCACCCCTACAAATGTGTTATGTTTATTAAATTTCATTAAATGCTTTGGTAACTGCATTATATTCCAGATGAAGGCGGAGATCTAAAGGGTCAACACATGTGATACGTTGCCAAGGAACACCAGATCTGGTGTCTCCATAGTCCTCACCTGGCTGCTATTGGCAGGCTCAGGTTGTGCATTCTAAGCAGGCTGTGTGGGTTCCTTCTCTATATTCCAATTCCCTGAAATTCTTTTTCTTTTTTTTCTCCTGAGAGATAAAAATGAAATTTTTCTTTTGGAAAAAGTTGAAATCTTAGCTTATAGCTTTTCCTCTCTTTTTTGAGATAAGGTCTCATGGGGTTCAAGATTGGCTTTGAATTGACTATATAGCTGAGGCTGGCCTTGAACTCTTGATCTTCCTGTCTCAATCTGCAAAGCACTGGGATTACAGGTATGAGCCATCACATCCAGATCTGGGTATGATCCAGTGCTAAAGTGGATTTGGTGAAGTGAGAGAAAGAAATGTAAGTGGAAAAGGAAGGGTTCTATTTGCCTATCGGGCTCACCTGTCTACTGGCTGTGGGTTTACTTAGCTCCCTGATGCCAGTCTGTTCTGGCACCGGGCACAGCTTGTGCATTCAAGGGGCTGCAAAGTACCTTCATGCTCCACACCAGGGACAGACAGGTCTTCTGTCCCTTGCCAGAGTATCTTTCCTGTTTCAGCATCCCGTAGATTCATCCAATTTCTGATCAAATATGATTAAGGAAAAGTAAGATATGAGAAGTAGAGAATTGTCAAAGACATAATAACAGGAATTACACAGAACAGAACATGGTAGCATAGACCTAAAATCCCAGTGCTTATGAGGGACATCAGACATCCAAGGTCACCCTTGTCTACATACTGAGTATGAGGGCAGCTTGGGCTGTATAGTGAGCAGGAGGCCAGTCTGACTTTTATTGTTCTCAAACAAGACAAAACACAAACAAAAGCATGAAAATTCAATCAAAAACGCTTTTCTTTGAAAAAAAAAAAAGATAGACAAAGAAAATTAGTGCTACAGAAGCAAAGAAGTGAAGTCTGTAAAGATGTGATGGAGTAAGTAACTGCAGAGCGGCCGAGCAGCAGAGGGAGCTTACATGTGCTTTTCTCTGTGAGCAACAACACTGTCACCACCCTCCTCTGGGAGGCACGGGCTGTGCCGCACCTCAGCAGCTAGCACATGCAGATCTCTCTTCTCCCACATGGGTGACAGGATGACATGCACCTGGAGAAGGTCTATGTTTTGCTGTGACACAGAAGACACACAAGACAAACTTGGTTGCTCAGCAGCCCAGGGTTATTAATTAGGCCAGGAGCCAGTGTGATGCAAGCCTTCCCTCTTTGGGTGTGCGGTCTTAACCAGTTCTCCAGTGTTTCCGGCCACTGAGCTCTTCTTCTTCTTCTTCTTCTTTTTTTTTTTTTTTTTTTTTTTTTGGTTTTGTGAGACAGGGTTTCTCTGTGGCTTTGGAGGCTGTCCTGGAACTAGCTCTTGTAGACCAGGCTGGCCTCGAACTCACAGAGATCCACCTGCCTCTGCCTCCCAAGTGCTGGGATTAAAGGCGTGTGCCACCAACGCCCGGCCACTGAGCTGAGCTCTTCTTTATCTACTTGGTTCACTTCCTCTGCTCCACATTTGAAGTGAATTAATAGTCTATTGTGTTGGAGATGGAATCCGGGGCTTTCCACATGCTAAGTCAACACTCTGCAACTAAGCTAAACTTCCACCCTTTAAGTAACCGAATTTAAACGCAACTTCAGTGTATATATTACTACTTAAGTCATAGCTTCCAATTTTTTTTTTTTTTTTTGGTTTTACGAGACAGGGTTTCTCTGTATTGTTTTGGAGGCTGTCGGACCAGCCTGGCCTCGAACTCACAGAGATCCGCCTGCCTCTGCCTCCCGAGTAATGGGATTAAAGGCGTTCGTAACCACCGCCCGGCATAGCTTACTATTTTTAAAAGATTTTATTGTATTTATACTTTATGTATATGAATGCTCTGCATGTATACCTGCAGGCCAGAAATAGGCATCAGATCCTATTACAGGTGGCTGAGTTTGAGATCAGCCTGGTTTATAGAGTGAGTTCCAGGACAGCCGGGGCTACACAGAGAAACCCAGTTTCAAAAAAAACCAAAAGAAAGGAAAAGAAAAGAAAAAGAGGCCATAGATTTGAAAGAGACAAGTAGGGAGGTACATGGCAGGGTTTGGAGGAAGGGAAGGTGGGCGTGATGTAGTTATAATGTCAAAAAATAAAATTATGGCCGGGCGTTGGTGGCACACGCTTTTAATCCCAGCACTCGGGAGGCAGAGACAGGCGGATCACTGTGAGTTCGAGACCAGCCAGGTCTACCGAGTGAGTTCCAGGACAGGCTCCAAAACAATACAGAGAAACCCTGTCTCGAAAAACAAAAAAACAAAAAAACAAAAAAAAAAATGGCCTGGCGGTGGTGGTGCATGCTTTTACTCTGAGCACTAGGAAGGCAGAGGCAGGTGGATCTCTGTGTCTTAGAGACCAGCCTGGTCTACAAGAGCTAGTTCCAGGACAGCCTGCAAAGCCACAGAGAAACCCTGTCTCGAAACCCCCACCCCCCAAAAATAAAGTTATGCATGTTTCTGTGTCTCTGTGGGTGTCCATACAGGCCAGAGGTATCTCCCCTGGGGTTTGAGTTAAAGGTGGTTGTGAGCTGCCTGATGTGGATGCTGGGAACTAAACTCAGGTCCTCTGCAAGAAGAAGCCTGTGCTATTAATGGCTGAGTTAATTCTCCTACACCTTTTTTTTAAAAAGATTTATTTATTATGAATACAACAGCCTGCCTCCATGTCTGTCTGCACGCCAGAGGAGGGCACCAGATCTCATTACAGATGGCTGGGAGTCACCATGTGGTTGCTGGAAATTGAACTCAGGTCCTCTGGAAGAGCAGTCAACGCTCTTAACCTCTGAGCCATCTCTCCATCTCCCCCATACCTTATTTTTAATTAGGTACTCTTGTGTGTGTGCTTCTGTGTGGGTCTGTGTATACAAGTGCAGGTGCCTAGACAGACCAAAAGGCATTGGCTCTCTTAAAACTGAAGTTATTGGTGGCTCACAACTGCCTGTAACTCCAGTTCCAGGGAATCTGGTACTCTTTTCTGGCCTCCACAGACACTGCACACACATTGTGCACATACATACATGCAGGCAAACACTCAAACACATAAAAAATTTCTTGATTAATTCAACAATTTTTTTCTTTTTTTTTTAAAAAGATTTTATTATTTATTATGTATACAGTGTTCTACCTGCATGCCAGAAGAGGGCGCCAGACCTCATTTCAGATGGTTGTGAGCCACCATGTGGTTGCTGGGAATTGAACTCAGAACCTGTGGAAGAGCAGTCAGTGCTCTTAACCACTGAGCCATCTCTCCAGCCCAACTCAACAATTTTCATTTCTTTCATATACTCTAATTGGAAAACTGCCAGTGTCTATATCAAATGTTTCATTCCACAGTCATAGGAGTTTATTAGATTGTATCTACTATAAACAATATGAAACCAGAGAAATACAAAAGAGAGTTCTATCCAAAGGTGGTGGAGTAGAAGTAACTAAGGCTTCTTCAAATTCGAGGCCTTGACTCAAAAACAAAAACAGAACAAGCTAAAAAATTCAAACAAAAATTCCCCAAACAATGAGAACAGCTGCCTTTCAAAAGTGAAAGACAAGATCTGATGACTGATCATCTGAATGAAAACATTTTTGCTTTGGGGCTGGAGAGATGGCTTAGCAGTTAAGAGCACTTGCTGCTCTTCCGGAAGTCTCAGGTTTAATTCCCAGCACCATATGGCAGCTCAAAATTGTCTCTAACTCCAGTTCCAGGGATCCAATGCCCTCTTCTGACTTCAGTGAGTCCTGCATGTAAGTGGCATGCAGACATACATGTAGGTAAAACACTCAAACACATTAAATTACAAATTAAAAATAAAGAAAACATTTTTGCTTCAACAGCATTTTGTTAAGCAGAATTTTCATAGAAAAAACACCCCAAGTTTTAAGGCTCAAAGGTCAAGTCACTTACAGTTTAGAGAGAGGATTAGGTAGACAGGCTTTAAAGGAGGGTGCTGGGTACTATTTATATTCACCACCCTCTGGGTCAGCCAGGTCATCGCTTTTAAAGGCTCCCTAGTGTTTGTAAGGAGGGTGAGCAGAGGAACACTCCTTTGCTACTGGGAGTCTCCCCTTAGAGGAGAGCATGTCTTGGTATTAGGATTCTCTTATTTGGGACCAGGTCAAGTCAAATGCTCTTACATGTAAAAGCACAACAGCTTTAAAACAAGCTTCAGGGCTGGTGAAGGAGCTTGCCACTATGCCTGGTGATTCCAGTGCAATCCCTGGGGTACTCTCATGGTGGAAGGAGAGACACCACTTCCACGAGTTGTCCTTTGACATCGTATGTGAGCTGTGGCATTCACATGCTCATAGACATATATGCACACATACCAATACACATAAAAAAATAAGTCTCATGCTGGAGAGATGGCTCAGAGGTTAAGAGCATTGGCTGCTCTTCCAGAGGTCCTGAGTTCAAGTCCCAGCACCACATGGTGGCTCACAGCCATCCGTAATGAGATCTGGTGCCCTCTTCTGGTGTGTAGACATACATGAGGCAAGATGTTGTTTTCATAATAAATAAATAAATCTTAAAAAAAAAAAAAAGAATGCCTTTAATCCCAGCACCTGGGAGACAGAGGCAGGTGGATCTGGTCTACAAGAGCTAGTTACAGGATAGGCTCCAAAATTACATAGAGAAACTCTTGGGGCAGGAGGGGGGGATGGCCTTTTGTTAGGTTCTGGTCAATGTATGTATATATACATATATGTGTGTGTGTGTGTGTGTGTGTGTGTGTGTGTGTGTGTGTGTGTGTGTATGTTGAGTAACCAGAGACTAGCACCACTTAAGTGAAACCTTAAACCTTAGCTTTACTGGGACAATTGCTGCTGGGCTGCTGATGCTGAGAAATTAGCAGTGATTAAGAAAAGACACTGCTGGGTGGTGGTGGCACATACCTTTAATCCCAGCACTTGGGAGGCAGAGGCAGGCGATCTCTGTGAGTTCGAGACCAGCCTGATCTACAAGAGCTAGTTCCAGGCCAGCCTCCAAAGCCACAGAGAAGCCCTGCCTCGAATCTGCCCCCCCCCCAAAAAAAGAGGAGACCAGCCAGCATTGAGGTGAAATCTTTTGCGAACTGTTTCCTCAGGATCAGGACAGAGAACCTGTGGTTCCAGAGGTGGTCAAGGTTGTACCTTGTGCTGACATTTGAACTTAGTAATGTGTAAGAGTCTCTCAAGTGGTACTGGTTTTGAAGGCAAGAAGGACTCATGGAGAGCAGCTCAAGTTTGGCACTCTAAGAGGCCACTGGTGAAGGTGAAGCCTTAGTAGAAGTTGAAACCCCAGGACTGAAGGGGTCATGCACAGAAGTTGAGGTCTGGTCTTGGAATAGAGCCCAGGAGAGGCTATTGGTGAAAGTACAGCCCAGTTATAGCAGAGATCCTAGCATTTTGGAGATGCCAATACCATGGGATGACCTTCAAGAACTGCAGCACCAGTGGAATGGGACCAGCTGGAGCCCAGGAGACAGGCTGTGTGTGCTGCAGAGTGGAACCAGGAAAGTGACCTAAGCCTTTGGAGGAGCCCAGAAGACGGCTTGTGAATCCCAGATACTGGAA